CCCAGGCAGGTCTCAAACCCGTGGGCTCAGGCAATCCACTCACCTCAGCCACCCAAGGGCGCGGGATTACAGGCTGAGCCACCGAGCCCGGCCAATTCTGCTTTTTAAAAGCCATCTTATGTCTCACCTTATTGCATTTGTGTGATCCTATTTCCCCAGCCACTTATAACATGGCTGACTTCAAGTTATCGGTCTATGTAAAGAACAGGGGTGTAAATCTCCAGAAGTTGCATCAAGTATCAGAGTTCTCCACTTACAGCAAAGCCTTCCCTCCTGGGCAGGTCTGTGGCCTCTGACTCCTCTTTATAGAATTTTCTCATGGGATGCTCCTTAGATCTGCTTCAATCTGCTTATATTTAGTTCCACAGTATTTTTGGCCAGGTGGGCAGGGTATGTTTGAATGTTGATTAGACTCAAACTGGGTCCTCTGCAAAACTAGGCAAATCTAGCAGGGTGTGGTAGCTCACACCTGTAATCCCAGCACTTTGGGAGGTGGAGGTGAGAGGACTTCCTGAGTCCACGGATTTGAGACCAGTCTGGGCAACATGGCAAGACCTTAACTCCACAATAAATCAAAAAATTAGCTGGGCGTGGTGGCACATACCTGTAGTTCCAGCTACTAGGAAGGCTGAAGCGGAAGGAATGCCGGAGCCCAGCAGGTCGAGGCTGCGGTGGCCAGGAGCGGTGTCTGCACTCCAGTCTGGGCGACAGAGTGAGACTCCAACTCAAAGAAAAAAAATATAAATCATCCCTAAGGCCAATCTTGATCGCTTACCCCTAACACATCAATCCATCCTATAACAACCTGAAAATAAAGAGATTCTGTCCTTTTTAATTCATCTGCATTCCTTCTGCAGTTTGAGTGAACGAGGCCTGAGCATCACACCACAGAATTCATCTTTGTTGGCAACTTGAATTGCTTCATCAGGATCTTTACTTCTAGTTTCTTATGTTATATATTCTCCCCTTTAGTCATTTATTTATTTATTTATTTTGAGTTGAAGTCTCACTCGGTCACCCAGACTGGAGTGCAGTGGCCACTCCTGGCCACCGCAGCCTCGACCCGCTGGGCTCCGGCGATCCTTCCACCTCAGTCTTCCGAGTAGCCGGAATTACAGGCATGCGCTACCACGCCGGGCTGATTTTTTGATTTATTGTAGAGATGAGGTCTCGCTGCCCAGGCGGGTCTCGAACCCGCGGGCTCAGGCAATCCACTCACCTCAGTCTCCCAAATGCGTGGGATTACAGGCTGAGCCACCGAGCCCGGCTCCCTTTAGTCATTTAGACAACAAACAACAACAAAAACCAAAGTAATGACAACAATAGGGAAACACCAACTAAGGATCATAAGATATGAAATAAGAGAAAATGCTTTAAACCATATTGACAGATATTGGCTTGGGAATTTCCTTGTGGGCTTGCTACCTCCTTGAGTACGAATTTACCCAAGGCCAAACACATGTGACTCAGATAATGTGTGGGAACGTGAAAGTATGCCTTGGCCTTTCACTGTGTGTGTAGTCCCATACATCATACTTTATATTCCAGTATTTCCATTGTTACATTTTTTTTGCTTTTTTCCATAATTAAATCTAAGTCACTGTCTATATGTGGCCTTTTCTTTAACTGGTCTATTGGGGCAACCCCTTTGGGATTTCTCCCACTATGGGAGTTTTTCTGTCCTCTCAATAAATAAAATAAATAAACAAAAAGTGGTCTGTTGGGAGTGGATTTGTTTGTTTGTTTGTTTTTTTGAGACGGAGTCCCACTCTGTTGCCCAGGCTGGAGTGCAACAGCATGCTCACGGCCACTGCAGCCTCGACCTGCAGGGCTCAGGTGATCCTTCCGCCTCAGCCTTCTCAGTAGCTGGAACTACACGGGTGCGCTACCACGCCCAGCTTATTTTTTGGTTTACTGTAGAGATGAGGTCTCACCGAGTTGCCCAGGCTTGTCTTGAACCCCTGAGCTCAGGCAATCCTCTCACCTTGGCTTCCCAAAGTGCTGGGATTACAGGCTTGAGCCATCGTGCCCAGTTTGGGAGTGAATTTTTTTTTTTTTTTTTTGG